TGGTGGTATTTATATGGATGATGCAGTGAATAAATTGAAATTAATATTTTTAAACTAGTTACTATACAATAGTATCTAAATATACTGTGAGGCCAGAGTGATACTTTGCTTTGGATATGGATGTTTAATAGTGGCAATAATTTATGATACTTACACATAGTTTACGTTTATGGCTAGGTCTCTCAAGTTTTAGAGTCAAAACATTTTTAAATGTGTAAGGACAAACTATCTCTATCTCATTATTCTATAAATATTACAAAGATGACTAATTTAAAGGAACCAAATGACAAACTTAAAATAACTACTAGAGTAAAATACTTGTAAATATATTTTTCTAACCTCATTTACATGATTGGTGGTTCTAATATGATCATATTGCTGTTTGAGAGTTAAGGAAATGTTGGATTTTTATTGCAGTTTTAATCAGCATTTAGAGTTTTTTTTGTTTTCTAATTTCTAGCAATAATTTTGAATATATTGCACCTATGAGAGTATTATGTTTCATCATAGTATACTAATTGGCTCCTAATGATAGGAAACTGAAGCTGCAGAGAACCTGCGGATAGCCAGGAATAATTTAGAGATATTGAATGAGAAGATGACAGTCCAACTAGAAGAGACTGGTAAGAGGTTACAGTCAGCGGAACGCAGAAGTCCACAGCTTGAAGGTGCTGACAGCAAGAGCTGGAAATCTATTGTTGTTACAAGGTAGAAACAAATAGTTTAAAACTCGCACAAAGTTGAATCAGATCTAATTCTACCATTATTGTTTTGAAAAGACTATGACACTATTCTGATTAACTTAGCTCTTTCCCGATGAACTGTTTGGTTGGTGCTTTTTTCCTTTCCTAGCATCGTCAAAGTCTTTATCGTCCTTAAAATATCTAAGGAACTTAGGTGGCAGGGCATGGGACAGAGCAGAGCAGAGGCTGGGCTCTGGGTTTTGGAGCTGGGTGGGCAGCACGAAGCTGCTGTCAGCCATGAGCTTGGACTGATGGTGCCCAGCTTCTCCTACCTGCTCTTTTTTTCCAGCTACAACTCAACTTCATTGTGTTCATTTTCTACCTCAAGTATAAGCCAGGCACAGTTAAGCTGTCTTGTCACAACCTGCGCCATACTAGATCTGGGCCGCACTGCAATTTGGCAGTTACATTCTGGGCAACTTGTTCTTCAGAGTCCCGACGGATGAATTCAGCAACAGCTCTAGTGTCTTCCTGGCCTCTGCGTTCTGGCACTAGATTTTCTCCACCTCATGAGCCATTTCTACAAATAAGTGTGACTGCCTTTCCCATAAACTGGCTATGAAAGGGGTGATGGGAATTCACGAGTAAGCATTCATACATTCACTGCCACTATCATGAGTAGTTTAACATGACTCTGATAAGTCAGTAAAAGGCTTTGGTGTCATTCTCATTTCCAGACTGCTCAGCAGCTACTTCAAGGAGTATAGAAGCCAGAGAGCAATGAGATTGTGTCATGTCCTTTCCCATTAAAGTTATCCTGTATGAAGTAACATCTGCTGGCCCTATTTGGAAAGGCAAAGTCATCTTTATCTTATCATTATTAGCAGAGTTCCTTAGGTCCACATATTTCCAGTTTCCCCTTTGATGTCCACCTGCTGTTTAGAATGGACTTGATGAGAGGTGGACTGGCGGTCACCATCAATACAACTAGGACAGGAACCTCAGCACTGAGGCTACAGCAAGGCCCACAGTGGGCCTGCTGCACTGCGCTTGCCTGTCAGCCAAAGGGAAAGCTATGCAAGTATATCAGAGGGCAGCCCAGGTGGCCAGGCAGTCCTAGAGAAGGGTCCTCGGTTCCTATCCTAATACCCTACTAAGAGCACTGAGGATCCACTCGTTCCTCCTGCAGCCCTCTCTCACTTCTACCAGAGGGCAAGTGTGAGGGTTTGGTGAAATAGCATGTGTGATAGTATAAAGGGGAAAAAGAGTCTCTTTTGCCTGCTTGGACCCCAGAGAGGCTCTCAACCAGCAGTGCTATCACAGCTGATTTCTTGGTTGGTCCTTTATTTCCTTCTACAGACACATATGGATTCAAAAGATTTCTGGATATATGTATTTAGCAGATACCTATTCAGTACTTACTGCATACCAGACACCATCCTTTATTTTCAGTGTATTTCTAAAAGGCCTACTTGGCTGAAGTTCTTTCAGAGAACCTGGGAGCTTTCATGGCTTAGAAATACCTAATTCTCACTAGGACCTTAAGTAAATTACATCTCTTTTGTGAGTCCAAGTTTTTTTTTAACTGGAAATTATAATCCCTGTCCTGCTTTCTAAAAAGGGCTCTGAAGATGCAGACAAGGTTATTAATGTGATAGCGTTTATAAAGTTTATGAACATTTGAGATGGTGGTTGATATTTAACCATAACTGAAGATAACTTTGCCTTTTAGATTGGTTTTTAAGCTACCAATTGTACAGGTAGCTGAGCATAAAGTAAGCCTTTGGTAAACCCATTTGAAAAAAACTTAAGTCCTAGTGAATCCACTGGACAGAAGACTAATTCTGATCCTTGGCATCAAGCCTCCCTAAATCCACCAAAAAATTGCTTAGGTCTGCAGCTGGGATCTCACAGCCAGCTCAGTGAAGTGGTTTGGAGATCGCTTCTGGGACTCATGATACACTACGTCTTCCTCATGCTGAAATCGTTATAGTTGCCTTATACTTTACTCAACAAATTAATGGTATCTATTTTGTCAGGCCTTATACTGACTGCTGAGACAAAGATCATTGCCTTCTAAGTTTCTAAGACTTATCAAAAGCTTGCATTAAGATAATTTTCCTTCCTTGTACTACCCTTACCTGATTTTGTTACCAAAATGTTCTTTTTCTTGTCTCTGGAAAAGTTTCAGTATTTTAATTGTTGTCTCCCTTTAGGTATGATGTGCTTATAAAACCATTTTGGCACAATGTTATAAAATTTCTTTTGGAGTCTGGGTTTTTTGAACTGTTGATCATTTCTTTCAGTTACAAATCTATTCTGATTTTACAAGCTTTGTTCCTCCCTCATCACATGCTCTTTCTCTCACCCGTGCTTTTGCATGTTCTTATTCCCCTTGCAGCAGTGCCCTTTGTTTTTTCTTTCTACTTGGATGCCTCCCTTTTTGGTATGTTTGTGTATATGTATGTGTCTTTGAAATGCTTTAATTTGCACTGTTTATATTCCTAAGACTATCCAATAATATAGTATTTGATATTCTGATGAATTTTCCTTTCTGCTTTTTGTGACTGAAAAAGGTATTCATTTTAGTTATTTTACAGTGATCAAATTCAGGCTCCATCCCTGGGAAGCATCTAAATCCTCTATTTTAATGTACCTGTTAACTAGGGATATTCATCCTTTGTCACCTAGTGCTAAGTAAATACAGAAGATTTGACTAGAAGAAACAATATGACAAGATATTGTTCCTTATTTTTAATGGAATAATTTGAACTAGCTTTTAAATCAATGAGAAAATTTTTTTTTCCATGTCTCTATCTTTTTTTTCCTTTATACTTTCAGAATGTATGAAGCCAAGTTGAAAAAATTGGAAACTGATATTGCAAAAAAAACCCATAGCCTTACTGATCTTAAACAGCTTGTAAGACAAGCAACAGAAAGGGAACAAAAAATTAAGAAATATACTGAAGACCTCGAGCACCAGGCAAGTAATGCAGTTTTGTTTTTTCACATGGTAAAACAATCCATTGTATGTCAAGCCACTTCTTGGTACTGTCTTTTGAAGGTAAAAATGAACTATTAATATTAACTCTTCCCCTGGAGGCCCGTCTAAGAGTGGCGCCACTATTCACCCATTTGTTTAAGCCAAAAACCTTGGGTCATTAATTCCTTTCTTTCTCTCATACTCCACATCTTTTTTATTATGTCATCTCAGCTCTATTTTCAAAATGTCCCGAATGTGACCACGTCTCAGCACCTCTAACACTGCCAGTCTAGGCCAAGCTATTCTCTCACATCTGAACTATTGCAGATTTTCCTAACTGGTCTCCCGGCTCCTACTCTTGCCTTGTTTCACCTTCTCCCTGACTCAGTCTATTTTCCACGTAATTGCCAAGCAAACAAAACAAAGAAAATCACAGCAGTCCCATTCTTAGAATCTTCCATTGGTTCCCTAATTATCCCAGAATGAAATTTAAAGGCTGTTTTCATGATCTGGCATCTGGTTTCCTCTTTCACATGTTGTATCCTCTATGCCTCGGACAAGCCTAACACGAGCAGTTACTTAATAACTGTTAAGTGAATAATGAACAGAACACCATAAATGTGTGCTCATGAGCTTTTGAAAACCCAACTTTTAATGTTTTGCTTTATTGAAAATGTGTATCTTTATAAAACCTCATACATTTCCATGTCAACTTTGCCTTCCAACTTTTCATTGTGCCCAAAGATTGAGATTCTCAAACATATTCCTGAAGGTGATGAAACAGAACAAAGTCTTCGGCGGGAGCTTCAAGTTCTTAGGTACATTATCTGTTCACCCACTTTTTTTTCCTTAATTATCTTTTAATATAACCAGGTTTGTTATGTCTAGAGATGATGAGGATTTTTTAACCTTGCTGCCAAATAGCTTACCAGCCTATTTTCATTCTTATGCCATTCTTCTACATCATAGATACAAAAAAAAAGGCAAGCCAAATCCTAATACGGGTGTCAAGTTTGTAATTTAGTTTAAATTTTAATAGCATAGAATATATCAAATGCTAGCTTTCCAGAGGTATAAAATAATGAAAGAGAGAAAAACAATTCTTCACTGCCAGGGTCTGTGTAACATGCTCTCATGAGACTCCTCCGGTAGGAAAACTACTCTTCAAAATGACATCAGGTCAGGTTTTAAGAAAAACATGAAGAATTTTGATTTCATGACCTCTGAGAATGGTAGCACTGCAGCAGTGACGATAAATGAATAAATGTTTACCTTTATAAATATAAGCAAGTCTTAAGCACTGTACATCATACAGTTCTTAAGAAATGCCCATATAGTTCACAGAGCAATGTCTGTGTTTTTGTTTTAACACATTACCACTGTGTTCTAGACTTGCTAATACTCAGCTGGAGAAAGAAAAAGCAGAATTAATCCGTCAGATAGAAGTCAACAAAAACCAAAGTGGAGCTGAGAGCACCATACCTGGTAAGTGTATTTTATAACTAATAATGGAAAGTTTACTAACCTAAGATTTTGAATTAGGGTTTGCCTTTTTTGTTTGTTCAGATTTTTGGTAACTATCTTCCTAGAAAACCAAATCTCTAATATAAGTTTTTAGAGGTGTTTCCTCCATGCAACAATAAATTGAGCTGTTTGAGTAGCAACTATTCCAAGTGTTTTTGCCCCTTGTGTTCCATATGGATGTTACAGATTTAATATGATTAGGTCTGTTGCTTCCAGTTTCTAAGTACAGGCCTTTTTAAGCCCTCTGAACATTATCTTCTAAATGTTAGTGTCATCTTGTTGATAATTTAAGAACTACATAAAGATCTTGCCTACATTTTTTTCCTTTTACAAAGTCAGTCTGTTCTTCTATTCCGTTCCATTTGCATTCAGAAGTAATGACTCCCATATGCATGTGTATACATATAGACTTAATGTATGTGTATATATACATACACAAAATGAAGTTGATCCCCATTATTTGCAGATTCTGTACTTGCAAATTCACCTACTCACTAAAACTTACTCATAACCTCCAAGTCAGTACTCATGGTGCTTTTGCAGAGATACAGAGCAGTGAAAAATGACCCACACTTAACAGATGAACTCCAACAGGTTCTGCGGTTGTCCAGCTTTCATACAGAGAGGTGATCAGAGAAAGGAAACAGTAAGGGGCAGTGCCGTAAAGAGCCAAAAACTCCGGTTTGGGGGCCAACTGGACAAATTTAGATCCCTGCTCTGATATTTGTTAGTAGTGCAGCCTCAGAAGTCATTTGACACTTCTCAACTTCGTTTTCTCTTTTGTAAAAGAAAATAGAAGCTACTAAGATGAAATGTTTCCAGGATTTAAGATTATAATCTATGTGAGATATTTGTGTATGTATTCTAAGAGTAATGACTCATCACCTAGTCATTGTTCATGTTGACTTTCTAGAACAGAACTGCAAATGAGAATCAGTTATTTGTATGTATATTTGATAGCTTAATGGAAATGCCAAATTCTATTCCAAACAATTAATACCAATTTATATTTGTATATTAGTTTTTGACTATTTTCATATAGTTTTTTCAGTATCCTACCACACAGTCCTGTTGCTATTTTGTATTAAAACTATGATTTATGAGTTGTACCAGACACTATGCTTAGTGCTTTACAAGCATTTTACATTTTAATGATTATAATTCTGTATGGTGGGTATCACTGACTCCATAAACAGATTCAAAGAGGTTAAGTATCCTGTTCCCAAGGTCACTGAAGCCAGGAAGTGGCAGAGGCAGGATGAAACCTAAATCTATGAAACTCCAATACTGCTTGCCTTTCCCTGCTGTCCACTGCACTGCATTACCGCATACATAAATCTCTCAACAGTCCTGGGGCAGCCAGCTTCATCTTACTAGATACAGAGCCCTCCACCTGTTAATGCTGTTGACATTAGCCAAGTTCTTTCTGAACCTCAGTTTCCTGAGAGGGAATTTCTGCACCCTCATCGTCTACTAGGAGATAAGGATCCTATCATATTTAAAATACTGTTAAAGCCCAGAATTAAACCAAAACTATTTTGGAAATTCTAAGGCACTACTCAAGTTTTCACTAAGCTAACTTTTGCAAAGTGCGACACACAGTAATTACTTTTACTGCAGTATTCCTTACCAATCTGTGTAACATGTAGCATCCCACTAAGACAATAAACTCAATATATATAGCATCCCAGTGAGAGTGAACCAACTGTGTAAAAAAATCAGCACTTCATACAAAGGTGAAGAGAGCTTTGAAAAGTATAATTTTGCTCTGCCTTCCAAAGGAAGGCAAGTTCTGACTCCGTTCACATAAGGGAGGATATGGAAAAAATTTCCTGTCTCCAACTTATAATTAGGGTGGAGACCGTTCTAAGGGCACCTTAATACAATGTGCTTCCTGTCCCATTCATGACATTGCATTGGTTGCCCAGTATTTTCTCTAACTAGCTCTATTTTAAAAATTTTACCCTTCAGTGGCTGTAAAATGTGACCACAAGACACATCATATGTAGTATGTAAAGAAAATAAGTTCCTAGAAAAGATGGCAATTAGTCCTATTGCCCATTGATTCTTGTTATATTAGACATGTGTTAACTCTGGTAAACTGAAGTCCTTGTGCTATAGTTGTATACTTGTGTTTCCTACCAAAGTCATCAGGATTTATTCATCTTTGTGTTACCCACCCATTTAGAACATTTTTACATAGTAATTACACTGTTAAGTGTACCTACATGGAATAGCCAGTACTCTTGGGAACAGAAGCATTTCACCAGTGTATTTTCACAGGCCAGGTGTGCCTGCGTCTGTGTGCTTCTGTTGTACTTCTGGTACCTAACAAATTTTCTTGTTTGTAGAAGTTTTCTCTGGAAAATAGCTTCTTCCACATAAAGAGTTAACCTGACTCTGTGCTTCTGGTACCTAGCAGATGCCTCGTCCTTGTCTGCCGTGGAATTATAATACCTGATAGCATAAAGGATTCACAGCCTGAGAAGTGTTTCAGCCATGAAATGCCATGTTTTCCAGGCTCTGGTGCCATTGAGTTTTTTCCTTATTCTCTTAAACAAATCCTTTATCAGATTGGGAAAGGGCTAAGTCTGATTTTAATTTTTTTGGCAGATCCTTATCAACTAAAGGAAAAGGTAAAAGATCTAGAAACACAGCTCAAAACCTCAGATCTAGAAAAGCAGCAATTCAAGGTAATTAGATGTTTAATTATATCTATTATAGCACTGTTTTTTGAAAACTAGTTTTATGATCATAATCTGAGTTTTAAGTATGTATCCTAAAAATGCATCTTATATCTGACCTTGATATTGCCAAGTTCATTATATTCATCTGTGTTAAAAATAAGTATTTCTTAAGAGCTACCAAAAGAAACTTAGACAAAACAAATAGAATTAAAGAGTAAATTTATTTTTAATTGTCACAGATACAGATCATTAACATTTTGTAAGTTTGGAATCACATTGAGAACAGTGTTTATTTTGAAATACTTTTCAGGAATAGCTCCCTTAAAGAAAGATATTTGCTATCTTTTATCTAAGAATCTGTAAACAGAGGAGCATGAATTTGAGAATTAACTAGTGACCATTCTAAGTGGTCATTAAAGCTCAAATTGTCTCTTTACCAGATGCCTCTTTTCCAGGCAGAAGCCCTACAGTTTCCCTGATTATAAATATATTTATAAGAATTCGACCATTATTCATTAAAAATTAGATATTTGTGAAGAAAATATAAACCAAGGAATTTTAATCAAAATAACTTCAATATTGTGAATAGCCAAGTTTTTTGGTTGCCACATTGGGAGTACTTGCTTAAAGAAAGATTCAATCCCCTGTAATTTAAGAGTTGATAAATTTTAGTCAAAGACTAGGACATAACTAACAAATAATTCAATTTAACAGTTAACAAGTTAAGTGAGTTATACTGTGCAATGAGGCCTTAAGAACAAAATCTTAAGGACATACTTCTGCCTTTATATTTGACCATTCAGGTTACTTTGGCTTTCATGTTTATAACTAAATCTCCTTCGTTCAAATCTAGAAAATGTATTATATTCCTCTACACAGCTTTTCAAGATTGTATGTTTCTATTAGGAGGAAGTAAAAAAGCTGAAGAAAGAACTGGAAAATTTTGATCCTTCATTTTTTGAAGAAATCGAAGATCTGAAGTATAATTACAAAGAAGAAGTGAAAAAAAATATTCTCTTGGAAGAGAAGTTGAAAAAACTTTCTGAACACTTTGGAGTTGAATTAACTAGTCCTGTTGCTGCTTCTGAACAGCTAGAAGATGAAGAAGAAAGTCCTACTAATTTCCCCATTTATTAACTATTTAAGTTAAAATTCCACCTGGAAGTCAAGCAAGTCTCTGAGCTACATTTCCTTCCCAGTACCTTGTACTTTTACCTAAAGTGGAAGTTTTAGTACATAAAACTATGTGATATTTTTAATGTATTAGAAAAGTATATTTTTGAAGACTTTGAGTAATTTATGGTTTATCAAACAGGCAATAAGCTATGATGCATTTCTGTATGTTCGTGTTTGAAGTTTTTTGGTATGAGGGTAAATAATGATTTTTAAATTGGAGTTTTATATATACTTACATACTTATATGTGTTATGTTGTGAAGTTATATATATATGTTGTGAAGTTGAGCCATGTTTTATTAAATATATAAGATTAAATTCAGCTTTAACTATTTAATTTTGAAAATAAATGATCCAAAATTGTTGGTTTGATTGTTGTCTTTTAATTCCTACCCTCTTACTATAGATAGAATCCAACGTTTTTACAAACTGGAGAGCTTACTATTATATTTTCAAGTACAAAGTAAAATTCATTCATTGATTCTAAATAAACTTTTGAATAGATATTTGCAATTGGGGAATTCATTTCTTCAAATGCTGGAAGACATATTGCTGTATTAGACACTGAATAATTAGGAACCATGAGCCATTTTTACCTTTTAAACATGGCGGGGTACTGAAGATTTAAATATAACAATAAAGCTGGTTTTTAATGGCATTTTCAGTTTATACATCAAGTATTATATCTTTCAGCCTACTAAATTTCTGATTATCTATTTTTGAAAAATAATTAAATAAACCCTTAGTATCAAAGGCATAATCATACTTGTTCAGGTTCATGTTGATTATAACTGGTTTTGAATTCAGATAAGTATCTGGAATTGGCCAGCACAAACCAAGATGATGGCGGTGGACCTGAAAAGAGCAAAAGCTTTAGCCTATGTTATCTTCATTCATTTACAAATATGAGTGCCTACCATCTGCCAGGCACTACGTAAGGCTCTACTTTATCTTACCCTTGTTTTTTCATAGCTGTTCTCCTCCTGACATATTACATATTTACTTGTTTATTGTCTATCTTCCCCATTAGAATGTGAGCTTCATGAAGGCAGAGACATTGTTTTGTTGACTCTGTACTTCCAGCACCTGGAAACATGCCAGGAACATAATCAGGGGCTCCATAAATATTTAATGCATAAAGAGTCTGTTGCTTAGTACAGAGGCTAGCCAATTGAAAAATGTGGTCAGAGAGGCATTCTAACCAAAGGAAATGTCACGTGATAGAATAGTGATTTTTGCTTTGATTGTACTAAGTATGCTTACAATATACACACTGTGGGTGTGTTTAAGAGAGAGATAGGGGAAGAGAGCAGTTTTGGAAAGTTAAGCAGGAAAATCTTGGCATCATTTAACAGTCTTAATCAGGGAAGTAACATTCTCAATTTAGGAGGGTGATAATTCAAGCTTAAATCTTAAAATTAAACAGTCGATTGGTTGTACAAAAGTGCACAGGTTCAACTGATGTAACACTTCATAACTGTCCACTGGATGTCTGAAGTAATGGAGGGAGGTTAAAAATGATATCTAAGTTTTTGGCTTCAGTGAACTGTTGGAGTTAGGGAGTTGGTGTAAGTAGGTCTAGTTTTGAACATTACAGATTTCAAGAACCTGTGAGAAATCAAATAGACAATTCTGGGAGACAAAAAGGGCACAAAGTGTAAAATAATTCATTATGTATGTATGTACCTATCACCTTAGCACTTTTTAACTCTGTAAGTTCTATAGTCAAGCAAGTTTGGGAAATAATGAGTTAAACTAAGTTGGTATAGAATGTCACAGAGAGCATAATGTGCCACATGAATTTCTGAGAAGGGGTTATACAGTATGCAGGGTTTTCCAGGTATTTATATCATGTTAATTCTGAAGCACATCTAGAAGAATCATTGCACCAGAGAATGTATACACACTGGAAAACATGATTTCATCATACAAAGGATGGTGGCATGTGAGAGTAAATTAAATTTCTTCACTGCATGTCAGAATTACTGCAATTTGTATAGAGTATTTTAGTGCCATTTCTACTTTATTTTAGGAACATAACCCCACAAGCTGTTTTCTGCCATTACCTTGACTAAAGAGCCATCATTGCAATGCCATACTATTCCTTCAATTTTACCCTCTCGGCAACCTTCAAACCAGGACAACAGATCACTGTGCTTCAAGCTAGGTAGATTTCTTATTTGAAATGCTCCATGTGGTATGAGAAGATGTAACGGATGCTTCTTGCTTCCTAACCCTAAATGGTAAAAATTTGCCATTAGCCATACAAGTTTCAAAAAGAATGACGACATTTACCTCTCCAAATAAAAAAGCCTTTGAAAATAACTAAGAATAAATCTACCAAACAGTTTAGCTGATTTCCTTGAAGACAGAGATATTACAAGTGCTCTCACTTAGAAGTGGTGCCCTATCCATCAAATCTAAAATTCACCTTCATGTACTCAGTAACACCAAGGGGGCAAGCCATGACCTTCAGGCCAAATCCAGCCATATGCCTGTTTTTTTTTTAAGTTTCGAAGGAACACAGCCACACCCATTCATTTAAGAACTGCCTCAACCTATTACAGAGGTATGGCCCACAAAAACCTAAATGTTTACTATCTGGCCTTTTAAAGAAAAAGTCTGCCAACCCCTGCTCTACACCAACAGCCACATTCAACTATGACTTAAAGTTTGCCCAAAGCCACACCTATCTCTGAGACCCTGTATATTCACTACCCTAGCTTCTTTTCTCCTAGCCAGTCAAGTTCGTAGGCTCCTGATCTCCATATAAGATTTCCCTATTCCAGCTTTAATATCCTTGGGTGTCTCTGCATCCCTGATACAGCAATGTGCCCCATAGCGCTCTCAGGACATGGACTCAATCCATCCTATACATTTTGATGTTTGATATGCTATTCACTGCCAATTCTTTATTTACTTTACTCTTAGCTCTTAATTAATGCTAAATTAATTATCTAGCCATGAAAAGCACATCATGATTGTCATTCAACTCAATTCACCCTCTGAAAAAGCAACAAGAAGCTACCCTTAATTATGTTTCATAAAATAGTAGTGCAATATAGTACAGCAAAGAATGAGGGACTAATATCAGCCCGTTAGTGAAATGTTAAGAATTATGTGTAATAAAATGACTAAAAATGGTTATAATCCTAGGAAGCTATATAACTCAAATTTATCAGTCATGTTTTTAGTCTTTGTTTTTACATTGAACCTAAAAAGTTCTCTCTATAAATGACTGTTATTACAACGACCAAGGAAAAGGCTTTACTTACCATATGGATTTCCGTTAACATTTGTTCCTATAAGCTCCAGTGTTTGTTCTAAGAGATCAGACAGCGGCACTGTACTAATTTCCAGAAGACCAGGCTCATCAGGATGATGCTTCAGCACCAGGGCGATTTCAAACTCATAGTTAACTACAGAGGAATGCCAGCAATACTGTTTACTGGTTTTCTCCACTGGTACCCAACCTATCATTTTAAGAAAAAAAAGTGCTTTTACTACACTGTTTTTCTTTGGATTGTGACAAGGTCATCTTTATTTTTGTTGTAAATTTTCCAATTTTCTGGATATCCTATCAAACAGAGATACCACTTTTAAAATCATCAGTTTTACTACTTAATCATGATTTTTTAATAATGTTTTCTTTTTTATTCTGCTGAGAAATTAACCTGTTTACTTATTTACTACAGAGCACCCAACACTCCTTTACCAGAAAATTCACCTTTTCAGTAAGAACTGAGCACTATTCCAAGACAAAGCATTAAAACCTTCTTTAATTAATCTCTCTTCCTTCTCTCCAGTTTCAGGAACACACATATGCAGTAAGTGTTCTACAATTTACTGTTCCAACATTTACTGCACAACTTACTGATTCCACATTTACTGAATGTTATTGCAATTCCTCTGCTAACTCCTGTTGCCAGAAGAGAATCCTTCCCTCTACCCCAAAACAGACAAACTAGGGCATATGTACCACTGTGCCCATCATCATCTTTGGCCTTCATTACTCACCCAGATCACTATGATAACCTGGTCTACCAGTCTGGTCTACCAGTCTCCAATGAAACCCACCCTATAGTTCTATTTCAAAAATTTTAATTCCATTTTGCTGTATCCCTAATAATCACCTTCAGGATAAACTTCAAA